AATACACATTTTTGCATTGTACCCCAGGACAACAGCAAAGCACATAATCATCAGAAAATAATTACAAAAGGACAAGATCAGCAACGCACCCAATCATCACTACCAAAGATTGCCTGTAGTGATGAAGAAACAGACAGCACCAGTTACCCCCAGACTTTACCAGCACCCAGATGTACACATCAGCTGAGGGAAGCTGTCACAGCCAAGGACTGGAGAGCCCCTCCCAGACACTGGGAGTTCCTGCAGGTACGCCTACCTTTGCAGGCAACGAGGCTCCAACCTCACTGTGAGAGGGCCCAGCTTCTACACTGTTAAACAAACTGACATCACTTCTAGTGTGGGAACACCTGGGTTCATTCTCAATTAGGTTTCTCCCAAAGCCTGGCCAGGGCTCATGGAGAAACCAAGGGAGGTGACTTTGATCATACACGCCCAAATAAATGTGGCCAGATGTGACCTTGTCCGGTTTCTAAATACAGAAAGATAAATCCATGTTTCACCAATGCACATATACAGAGACCATATTGCTAACAAAGCGTCATTAATGAGCAGATAAAAATATAACATTTGGTTGGAAGATTCATCTAGAGGACAGCTTTAGCTCAGGGCTGTTGTTGATGCCTCACTCAGAGCTGGGTGTTCAGGCCTCAGTACTTCAATCAGTGCTTTGACCTAGATATGAACTACAACCTTCATAACAATCCTTTCCATAATACAGAACCTTAGATTTAGATATTAGGCATAAAGGCATCGCCTCGTGTTCTTCAATTAAGTGTTGTTCAAGTTCATTACTCAGAGCTATAATTCGTATTCCTTTTAAAACGTGCCTAATTAGTTGCTATTTTCTAGGTTCTTTGTCAAATCCCACTTTTCTTGAGACTGTGTCTCTTGGTAGAAAAGTCTCAGTACTCCATTTCTCAGCACAAAGTGTCACAACAGCTCTAGCATGGAATCATAATACACCAAGTGCTCACGCTTCAAAGATTACAGTGACTGCCACAAATTCATTTCACAGCAGCCTCCAATTTGGAAGCCAATCCCACCATGAAGAATTTTCTTCTTTCTGCCACTCTTCTGCTGCTCTTTCTATCGAGGTGATTCCAGATTGTTGGACTTCAAACCCAGCACTGATAGACATTCCTGCAACATTACTGTCCTAGAAAAGCACAGGTTCCTCCCTGGCCAGCAAGCAAATAATCCAAGGCCATGTGGCTCTGTAGAGCCCCAATATGTGTTTGTTGGAGCTCAGAGGATGTGCTATTGGATATTTTAACAGCATCACTTTTTACTTCTTCTAATAATTGATTTAGCTCGTTAATGTAAACTCCACAGAACGAGGCAGCGCACATGGGGCACAGGGTGATACAGAATCTTTGGCTTTCTGAAATCAAAGGCACCCTTTGGGTGGAAAATGTTCTCCTGGCCCCAATTCTTCCTAGTGCTTGTTGCCAAAGTACCTTCAAGGGAGGCATCAATACTGCCTGGAAACAGAACCCGAACTATCCTTTAGGAAGCCGTTTAGAGGCAGTCTCCACACACCCAGCAGCTCCCATTCCCAGTACCAAAGGTCTGATTTCCTGTTTCCCACTGTGGGCTGCTGATGGATCCAGGGCTCCTCCCTGTGCTCCTGTTGTGTCCCTGGTGCCTTTGGGCCACAGGAATTTCACAGTGGCCCTGCAGCTGGGAGCGCTGTAACACTGACTCTGACCAGCTCCAGCACCCCGAGTTCTACTGACATTGGGAGTGATGGTAAAGCACAGAAATCCTTTCACATTGTGGCCTCTAACTGTAACAGGGCTTGGTTTCTCCTGAAGGGAAATCATAGTGAATCCTGTAAAACTGGTAATTGTATTCCTTTGTTCCACAGCGCAGTTTCTGTTATGAGTTAGGAGTCAGAGCCCATTGACAGATTTCTGGCTGCCCCACAAAGTGGGCCCTCCAAGGGAACCCCATTCCTCCCAGCATCAGTTGAGAACATTCCCAGCAATTAGTTACATTGAGTATTTTGGTTACTTTGATCTTTAAATTTTCATAAGAATTTCATGACTCATCCCTTGGAGAAACTCTAGAGGTGTTTCTGGCAAGCAAAGATTCTGGCTGACTCTCAAGACACAACTTGAACAAGACAGTACTTTAGTGACAAGGTTATTCATTCTTTTTCCTCCATCTCATTCAGGTTAAGAACAATAATTCTGTTGTCCATGGAGTTGGCACCTTTTTAATTCCACACTAATGTCCCCAAGGTCCTTTGCTGTCCAGCTTTACCGCACTGTCTGTGGCTGACAAGGCTTGGTGGGGTCCTTTCCCCTCTGGCTGGAGAGACGCCGGGTCCCAGCTCCTGAGGGCACCCAGGCTCCTGGATGGAATTTGTGTGGAGGTCCCTCAGTGTCACATCAGCCTTCACATGGAGCCCCGTGGATCAGAGCATTTTCCAAAGGGG